CAATCCTGATACTACCTACCTGGAGATAGACTCCACCGGTTAGAGATTCAGGCCTACAAGATAGCTCCCTGGCCCCCACTTCAGACGCAAGCTGCACGCTGTGTGCTTCTGACCTACTGGCCGAGGGCTGGAGGTTTCTATTCCTGCCTCCAGCTCAGAATGCCAATCACAAGTCCAGGTTGTCATCTCTACTACTGTCCAACTGGCTGTAAATCAGAGGTCCCCATGACCCCCTCCTTGGGTTCAATTAATTTGCTAGAACAGCTCACAGAATGCAGAGAAACATTATTTACTAGATCGCTGGTTTATGGTAAAAGGATATAGCTCAGGAACAGCCAGATGGAAGGGGCACAAACTTCCACACCCTCTCTTGGGATGCCATTCTCCTTTAATCTCTACCTGTTCACCAACCCAGAAGCTCTCCAAACCCTAGTCTCTTGGGTTTTTATGGAGGCTTCAGTTACCTAGTCATGACTGACTAAATAATTGGTCATTGGTGCTTGATTTGGTGATTGGACTGAAAGTTCCAACCTTCCAATCACATGGTTGGTTCCACTGGTTCCTTAGATAAATGCTTTCCAAAAGTCACCTCGCTAGCATAGTGAAAAAGACAACCTTGTGACTCTCAAGAGAAACACAACAAGAACACAGAAAATTGAACTTTTCAGAAGTCTGTTAACAACAAATTCTTCAGCCTGACCGGTAAGGGGCGAAACCAGCAGCTGGTGGAGCAGAGTTGCACAGGAAAACTCGGTCAGACGGACTCAGGCGCGCGCGGAATCCAGGCACAGGGTTGGACCTAGTGAGCGACCCAGCGAGCGACCATGGGTAAACAACGAGAAGGCAGGGCTGTGGGTTGACTGTGGTCGCACATTTGTCCACGGATAGACAAGCGAGGAAGTGGGCGATTGGACCAGGACCTAGCAGTCCCTGTGGCAAGCGGCAGCGGAGGGCGCCGCCATTTCCCTGCTCTGACCCCACCTCCACATACAGCATCGTAACCCAGCGACTCTGAGTGGCCCAGCCCTGGTGAACCACCTAAGGCTCTGCTCCTCACGAGCAGCTCGAAACAGCAGAGGGGGCCGCCATTTCCCTGCTCTGACCACGCCCCCACATACAGCGTCACAACCCAGCGACCTGGGAGTCCAGGGCTCCGCTCCTCACATTTAAAGGGCACAAACAGACCAAAAATGGCTCAAGAAGATCTCAAAGCACCAGAGCCTATAAATCTAAGTGATGAAGAACTAGCAAAACTCTCAGACGCACAGTTTAAAACACTGGTGATCAGGATCCTCATAGAACTGGTTGATTATAGCCACAAATTAGACAAATATATGAAGGCGAAACTAATTGAAACGAAGGGAATTGCACAGGAAACCAATAGCGATGAAAAGGAAACTGGGACTCAAATCAATAGAGTGGATCAGAAGAAAGCAAATAATGGCCAAACAGAAAAGAGTGAAGAAGCAAGAATTCAAAAAAATGAGGAGAGTCTTAGGAACCTCCAGGACATCTTTAAACGCTCCAATATCCGAATTATAGGGGTACCAGAAGGGGGAAAGGAACAGCCACCAGTGAAAAACTTATTTGAACAAATAATAAAAGAGAACTTTCCCATTCTGGCAAAGGAAATAGACTTCCAGGAAATCCAGGAAGCTCAGAGAGTCCCAAAGAAGTTGGACCCAAGAAGAAACACACCAAGGCACATCATAATTACATTAGCCAAAATTAAAATGAAGGAGAGAATCCTAGAAGCAGCAAGAGCTAAGGGGACAATCACCTACAAAGGAGTTCCCATCAGACTGTGAGCTGATTTCTCAAAAGAGACCTTACAGGCAAGAAGGGGCTGAAAGAGGTATTCCAAGTCATGAAATCTAAAGACCTACAACCAAGATTGCTCTATCCAGCAAAACTTTCATTTAGAATGGAAGGACAGATAAAGTGCTTCTCAGATAAGGTCAAATTCAAGGAGTTCATCATCACCAAGCCCTTATTATATGAAATGTTAAAGGGACTTATCTAAGAAAAAGAAGTTAAAAAAACATGAACAGTGAAAGGACAGCAAACTCACAGTTATTAACAACCACACCTAAAACAAAAGCAAACTAAAAGGACAGCTAGATCAGGAGTGGAAACATAGAATTGAAGATATCAAGGAGGGTTAGCAACAGGGGAGTGGGAGGAGAAGAAGGGGGGAGAAGGTACAGAAAATAAGTAGCATAGACAGTAGATAGAAAATGGATGGGGGGCAAGAATAGCATGGGAAATATAGAATCTAAAGAACTTGAGACACATGGTCATAAACTAAAGGGGGGTAATGGGGACAGGGAGGTAGGGTGGAGGGGAATGAAGGGGGGAATAGAACAACTGTAATGGCATAATCAATAAAAATTTAAAAAAACAAACTGTACATACATAAAGTGCACAATTTAACAAGTTTTGCTGTGACTGTGAAACCATTGCTACAATCAAGACAAGGACCATACTCTTCAGTATTGAGCTGGACGAGTCCCATTCCATATTCCAGTTTCACAATTATTCAATATGCATTCTACAGCAGGCATTATGCTGATTGAAAAGGAAACACAGACTCACCGTGCACAACCTCTTCCCATGGGATCTGATTTCAGGACCCAGCTGGGCCACGAAGGAGGCCACGCTTCTACCTGAGAGTGCTGTGGGGAGAAGAGGCTTAGGAAAAGCTGGTCAGAGGGGATGATGGTTTGGCTGATCTAGACAGGTCGAGGTGCTTATTGGGCAGTTGAAGGGAAGGAGTATTCCAAATGGAGGGAACAGCATAAGCAAAGAGTGGAGGTTGAAGAGGCCTTAGTTTAGGTAGCAGCCAGACAGGTGTGGTCAGAGCGTTAGTGCACCTGAGCATATCAGGCAAAGTGGGAGCTGTTGGTGGCAACAGCCAGATAATGAGGAGTGACGAGGCACAAGGAGTCTGGCTTGATTCTGTGAGCTGTATTCTCTCCTGGAGAACTCCTGGAAGCCTTCCAGGAGTGTCCAACCTTTTGGTGTCTCTGGGCCACACTGGAAAAAGAAGAGTTGTCTTGGGCCACACATTAAATACACTGGGGCACGTAATCACCAAAATATTTCATAACGTTTTAAGTAAATTTATGATTTTGTGTTGGGCCACATTCATAGCCATCCTGGCCACAGGTTGGCCATCCCTGCAGCTCAAACAAAGGAGTGGCACAATCAGATCTGCATCTCAGAAAATTCATTCTGACAGCTCTCCAAGGTTACAGAACAATCGGTTACACAACCTTTGCAAAGGGGGGATAAATAGTGATGAAAATTGACATGACTTGGGTGGTGAACGCACAACGCAATGTGCAGATGATGTATCATAGAACCGTACACCTGAAACCTATATAATTTTATTAACCAATGTAATCCCACTAAATTTGATGAAAAAAGAAAAGCTTTGTAAAGGTCCTAGTGAGCAGAAACAAATAAATTATAGGCCATATTATATAAAAATCAAAAGCCATCTTGAATGCAAAAGCTACTTTCATAAACATTACATATATACATATTTAGAGCATTATTTTTATTTATTTTTAAAGATTTTATTTATTTATTTTTAGAGAGAGGGGAAGGGAGGACGAAAGAGAGAGAAATATCAATGTGTGGTTGCCTCTCGTGTGCCACCTACTGGGGACTTGGCCACTACCTACTGGGGACCTGGCCGGCAACCCAGGCATATGCCCTGACTGGGAATGGAACTGGTGACCCTGTGGCTCTCAGCCCACACTCAATCCACTGAGCTACGCCAACCAGGGCTATTTTTATTTAAACAATAGCAATGAAAGCCTCTGAAGAGTTGATGATACCCTGGTCTGTGAATCCCAGAGCTTGAATATCTCAGGACCTTTCAAAAGCAATGGAAGCTGGCCTTCCCTGGTGCAGAAGGGCACCAGAGGTGGGACTCTGTAGAAAAGAGGTTCAAATAAATAGCCTACTTCTAGCACTAAATCCAGAACCATCTTAAAATCTAAAGGCGGTAACAGGCAGGTCAGAAATAAAGTCTGCGATTACAAGTTACAGTGGTCAGACAATATTGAGTAAGGTTTGCATTAATTCTGTTGCTGTTAACTGATTCTTTGATGGCAAATGTCTGCCCTGTGAGCGTCAATAGCTGATGAGAGTGTACTTCCTTTATTCCATTCACCACGGAGCCTTGAGAACACAAGAGTAAAAACAAGTGGCATCAGTGAGGATGATTTCAGCTGCAGAACCGAGAACAACTATAGGCTTCCATTTTATTTCACTTTGCTATATTGCACTTCACGGATGTTGCATTTTCTTACAAATTAAAGGCAAAAAGATTGCAACTTGGTTTATTGCAGTCGTTTAGAACTGAACCCACAATATCTCCAAGGTATGCCTGTACTCAAACTGGCCTGACAGTCAAGTTCAGAGGCTTTATGTATGGCCTGATAATAAGCCCGGCTCCATTTTTCCATGTTTCTCTCAGCCCTGTCCTCCTTTAGGTCTCAGCTCAGCAAAACAGCAGCAGTTCTAGGCTTCACATCTTTAAGCCCATTCTCCAGAAGGGTTTCTCTTCCTCTAAGCCTCCTACAAGAGTTTGGGTTTCATTCTAATTGCATCCACTTATGGCACAAGCCTTATGCCAAGTGTTCACTCTAAAGTCAATCACTGCAGCAAGCAGGGATAGGATTCCACTGACTGGCTTGGGCCAGTCGAAGCCCACCCCTGGGAGCTGAGGATCCAATCATTCCCACCCGAAAGGCTTGGCCGCTTCATAATGGGAAGGCAGTGAGATGTGTACCAGGAAGCAGCTGAAAATATCTACTATTTGATTAAAAATCCCTTGGGTCACCCAACAACCCCCTCAGGAGGACAGCAAATGTCAACTCAGTTGGCCATGAGTCATGATTGCTGTGGAAAGTGAGACTTAACTGTTTTGTGCGTCACCAAAAGCCCCAAACACAAGGACTGCAAGGAACACGAGGAAGGATACCATCTACCGAAGATACTTTATTTGTTATTTTTCACATGAACACTCAAGGACGAATAATAATAACAACAAAAATAACTTGCAAGGGGGTCAGACATCAGACATAAATAAGGACACTACTAACGTTAAAGAAAACCTGTGCTGGTTGTGGCCACGCCATGCTTGGGAGAGCATGTGTTGGTGGCCACAGCTAGGCCTCTGCCGGCGTTGAAGGCTGAGACCTGAATGAAATCCCTCTGGACTCTGCACCACGAGGCTGGACAGCTGGAGCCAGAGCACCGCTCTCTCTCACCATCAGCCAGACAGAATGCCCGCAACTTCAGAGTGACTTCAAGTTCTTGCTCCTGGGGGTTTTGTCTCCATACCTTTTCTTAGTCTCTGAGTCTTGGGTGGGGATGAATTAGAGGAAGTGCCCATTTGCTCAGAGGAGGAGATTCTGAGGACAAAGGTGGGTCCCGTGTACTTTCTCCTTTCCTCATCTTCCCAGTCCAGCTCCCTCCTGCCTCTGTTCCTCCTGCCCCTGGTCACATTTTCTCTCTCTGTCTCTTCTAAGAGTGGCATTTCAAAAACTCTATACTGTACCCCATGATGGCCACTTCTCCTGCAAGCTTCCTAATTCATAGAAAGGTCCTGTATTTCACTGGTCCTCCTGAAAAAGCAGAGACATGCCTTTTTTCTGTCTTCTTGGTGTGAGGCCAGGTCATAAGCACCTGCTGATCTGAGGGTAACAAAATCCTTACAGCTGAGGGATAGAAGGAGAACCTTGAAAGATGGTATCTCTCCCCAGCCTTTGACTGCCACAGCTGATGTGTGAGAGTCTCCCAAAATTAGGTTACTTATCAGTAGGCCATCAACTCGAGAGCCACGTTTTCCCCGGAGTAAACAACCTTGGGGAACGTTCCCCTGGATTGGAAATGGTTATTGTTCACCAGGAAAACAAAACGAAATCCTAATTGTTATACTGATTGGGGAAAATCAACTGTCTTATAACTGTTAACAGAATGTAAGTGTGCTTAATTTCATAGGTGTGTAGCAAACAAGCTTTAGTTTTTGCAAACATTCACAACTTCCATTCAGAGAGGCTAGATGTCAGATGGAAGAAAAATAGCAAAGGCCGATCTTCACTGTTGCTGACTTCTCCACCAGTCTCTTACTCAAAATACAGGCCCATACAGTGGGTTGAGGGCCACGGATAGTTCCAGATTCTTCCTATTCTAGACAAAAAAGAGAGAAGGGGGGAAGGAAAAGAAAAACTGTTAGAAAACAAGGATACCAAGAGAAACATGTGAGAAAATTTAGATTCATAAATTACTAACATTATTTTAATTAACATTATTTGAATACTATTCTTAAATTAGAACCAGTCATTGTGCTCGATTTTTGTCCTGTGAGATAGGATTCGTTTCACCCATTTCATAGATGAGAAAACAAACCCAGAGAAGTCCGATAACTTGCCTGAGGACGCACAGTTCATAACAGGAAGGGCAAGGCTTTGAACCGGAGTCTGACTCTAAATCCCACACTTCTTCTACCACTAAAGGGCTCTCTTTCAGTCATGTCCAACCTGTGGCCCTCAGGCGCTATGTGGCCCAGGATGGCTTAGGAATGCGGCCCAACACAAAATTGTAAATTCGCCTAAAACCTGTTTTAGGCATCAGTTTTTGTTAGTGTTTGTGTACTTAATGTGTGGCCCGAGACAACTCTTCTTCTTCCGGTGCGGCCCGGAGACGCCAGCAGGTTGGACGCCCCTGCTAGAGTTGTACTCAAAGCAAGGGCTCCAGGGACAAGGAGGGAAGGAGATTTTTAAGGAGTTCGGAGGTGAAGGTTCACCGTGGGCGGGGCCAACAGGTGCTCCCACAGGACGTGCATTCACGGCTTTGCTGGCTGGGCCCTGTGTGTGACCTGGTGCGGTACGTACTGTTCAGGTCATCCCTTTGTACACACATTCATCACTTAGACTTTCTTGACTAAAGGAAAGTTTATGTACAACATAACCACAAGATTTTAAAATAACGGTAAGTCATGTTTCCCCAGAAAGTTCCAAGTGTGTTAGGATCCCTAAAGGGCAGTGTGCTCACCTGGGCGCTGTGCTCACCTGGAGACCCCAGAGCCTGCGCCAGTCCTCCTCCACCCCACCCCCAGGCCTCTGGTCCCCCTCTTCCTTTGTCCTCTTTATTTTTCTACTCTCCTGGGTGTGCCTAACTCTTCCTCTTTCTTCTTTTCCTGCCTCCATGTTTCTTTCTTTTTTACTTAAAAAAAAAAAATCTGTTTTCTCATTGCCTTCTTTTTCCTGACTCCTCTCTGCACCCCCATCTCCTCCTCCATCACCATCTCATCTTCCACCGTCTCAGTCCCCATGTCACGCTGCCCCTGAGAGTCGCCTCTTACAGGCTTCCTCCTTTCAGCATTTCCTCTGGGTCAGCTGCACCGAGCAATGCCAGCTACAATTATCCGATACAGATGCAATGAGCACAGCCTATTCTTCCTGACAGTCCTTCCATGGGACATAAACAATCACCAGGCTAGTTTGCCTTACCTCTTTACAAAGTGATCAGTTGCCTTGATGTGGGGCCGAGGAGGAAAGGAGAGATTTGCATGGGCTTCTGGAAAGGATCCACCGAGCTCCATTCACACCTATCAGTCCTCCTCACGCCCGCCCGACCTACATCCTAATTACACAGCCTGGGGATTGCAACTCAACCCAAAACAACCACGGGAGTCACAGCCGCAAGAGCTTGTATTTACAAGGGACCTTACAGGAACCTAACATAAGCTGCTGCTTTCTTTTTTGTTTTGTTTTTGTTTTAACAAGTGAGGAAAGAGGTGGCCAAGGAATTAAGTGATACAGCAAAAATCACATAGATGGTCAGTGTTAGGGACCAAGAGGTGGCTCTTTAAAATAGCAGAGTGCTTCTTCTGCTCTTTGTCTTTTTATAAAAATCAGAAACAAACAAAACAAAAGAAAACCCCCTGCAAAGCGGCCAGGGCTTGGTGAAGATACAGAAGGCCAGGTCCCTACTCTACCCTGGAGTATTTCACTCAAAAAAGCCAACAGAAGCCCGCTGACTCACCTAGTAGTCAGGGCGGGGTATGCCTCTAGAGTTTGCATAGGGGTTCTGCATCCCACCGTCTCTGGAGAAGCTGGTCGAGATTTTAGGGAAGATGGTCCCTTCTGCTGGAAAGCTGAAGCCTGCCCTTTGCTGCAGTTTCAGATTTTGAAAGTCGTTCTCAATCAAGTTCTGTTCTTCAACATCCTTCCTTTTCTTTGATCTGTAATGAGTAACGGGAATTAGGATCTGACAATGGCAGGTTTCTGAAAGTAAATGTTAATACTCTTTTTAAAAATGTTTTAAAATTTGGGAATATTTTCAAATCTACATGTGAGATACCAAAAAAAGATTATGCAGGGTTCTCATACATCATCACCCAGATTCCCCAGTTGTTCACATTTCTGAACCACTTAAGAATAAGTTGCAGACCGGATGACCCATTACCTATAATATTTCATTATTTCATTCAGTGTAGATTCCCTAAGTTTAAGGACAGTCTCTTTAAAAGCTTCGTGTAACCACCAAAACCAAAAGGCTAATGCTGACCCAACATTACCATCTAATTCCATCAGTCCATGTAAATTTTGCTAATGATGTTAGTATGCTTGAGTGTGCTTTTGAATTGTTTATGGAAATAATACTAGAAGTCAATGAGAAAAGATGATTTGGGATCTAATTTCACATTCAAGGAAAGTCAATGTCTATAGACTCACCTTAGTGAATGAAACAAGTTCAAGGTATGAGAAAGTCTTAATACCTTTCAGTATTGGCCTCTCAAGGATAAGCATTTAAAGCCAAATGAAAGTTCTTGCAAACGAGGGAGGCGCATGCCCCAGTTAACTCTGGTCATGACCCTGCTCTTCCTCCTGCCCCACAGGCCACAGGCCCACTCCTGCAGGGGCACATAGGGGCTACATCCACGGTGCCCACAGGGCCCTCCCGGGGTGACAGTCACACACCCTCAGTCACACTGAGAACGTGGTAAAGGAAGAGCCACTCGCCCTGGACCCTGATGGCCAGCCCAGCTGACGACAGTTATTGCCCTTTGACAACACTCCTGCCTAAGTTGCCTGGGGAGGAACTTCCTTACGTTCAAAATACGCGAGAAATAACTCTCGGGATGTGTTCCCAAGAACCGTGAATCTGAGGCCGAGCTCAGGGCAAACACAGCTCTACAGCAGGAAGGAGGAGCTGAGAGGCATGGCCGTCCCAGGGCCACAGGCTCTGCAGCAGCCCCCGAGGGCCCTGGAGACCCAGGACAAGAGACAATCCTCACGGGAAAGGAGGGACAGCCTTGCTTCATAATCGGAAGGGTCTGGTCCTGTCCCTGGGAAAGGGAAGGGCACATTCCCGGTTCCCAGCTGCCTGTCCTTGTAATTATCTGTGGGGTAGAGTTACTAGCTTAAATAAATTAAAAAAAAAAAAAAAACAAAAAAAAAAACAAGAAACAAAATATTTTAGGAACCTAAAATCTATTTATCCCCTCACATTATAGTGCAAAAATACCTATTTGCCAAAGTGTTACTTTGATAAAGTAGCTTGTTTTTTTCATCAAAGTGGATCTGCACTTGGCACATTTAGAATGGAATAGATAATAGCCTTCTCTCTCCATTGATGAAGGGAACTTTAGGGTATCTAAGTATCTGTTGAATGAATGAATGGACCCTACTTCAGTTCTTAAGAAGAGCAGAGCAAATGTTTCACTTGAATGAAACCCAGGGTACTCCAGCCGAGGCTGGTTTTCCATCCTTTGCAGCAGGGTCCTGGGCAGGGAACTGACTTCGTGAAAATGACATAAGAAAATGGTTGCTATGTCACATTATAGTGTTAAACAAAAATAACCTAAACAACTCTTAAACAAAAAGGATACAAAATTATGTACATAATATCCTTTGAAAAGATAGAGAAAAACCTGGAAGGATATATTTCAAAATGTTAGTTGCCTCAGGGTGGTAGGTTTTATGGGTGTTTTTTTATTCTGCTCCTTCATACATTTCTCTCTTTTCTAGACTTTCTTCAGTGATCACGTAGAGCTTATACAATCAGAAGGTAAGAAAAAAAATTCAGTGGTTTAGAGAAGCCTCGTCTTACTCCCCTTCTCTTGCCTGGGAAAGACTGTGTGTTTGGGAACGAGATGTCACACTGGTGACTGCCGTGCCCCAGGACCGGGACATTTCCATTCCATACCTCATGAAGATCAGTGCGATAACCATGCTGAGAATGAGGATGCCAGCAATGGCGCCCACGATGGTGAGAATCAGCTGAAAGTCTGAAAGGGAGCAGAGAGGAATAGGCGCGGTGACCACAAACAGGGAGCCACTGACTGTCTGCCAGGTGCGAGTGTTCCCAGGGGCGCCTGGCTGTGAGGACCAGTGGCTCTCACCTCTGACTCCTCCAGGGCCAGGTTGGATGGGTGGCTCACCTCCTTCACCCCTCCCTCCTCACCTCCAAGCCCCCGGCTCCCCTCCAACCCCCAACTGTATCTTTAGAACCCACTCAGAAGAGTCAGCCTTGCCAGATAAAAGGCCATATGTGCAAAGGAGGCCATGGTGGCAAGGGCTTCCTGGGCTTTGTGGGGACTGGGATTACAACCCAGGACCACACCCTCTCCTGAGCTCTGCTGCCTTTGCCTGCCCGCTGCACCTGACCTGGATGATAAACTGGGGGAACTGAAATGGTCACTAATGGTGGAGCTAGGAAATGGCTTGATAGAGTTGGTGAGGGAAGAGCCCGGAGGCTCGTCACCACCCATCGCCTTCTCTGGCTCTGCCGTCTAGCACTACTGAGCCCTTGGAATGCAGCTACGAAATGGCCTGTAAGTGCAACAGACACAGTGGACTTCAAACACATTTGAAAAAGCTGTAAAATATATTGTGAATAATTTTTATACTGATTACATGTTGAATTGATAATAGTTTTGAAATAGTGAGTGAAGTAAAATGTTATTAAAATGATTTTCACCTGTTTCTTTTTACTTTTAAAAAGTTACTTAGAATTTTAAAATTTGAAATTAAACATAAAGCTTACATTGTATTTCTATCAGACAGCGCTTCTCTAGACAACTTGTCTCTGCAACACAACTGTCCTGTGTGCCACCTCCCACGAGGACTCATGGGGCCACAGGACTTAAGTCTGGAAACTACCTTAAAGGTCATCCAGCCCAAACCTCTCATTTTAATCAGTGTAGGTGGTGAAAGGCCAGGAGGAAGAAATGGTTTAGCAAACCCAGCCTCGCCGCAAAACACAGTAGAAATTGAAAGCATTTCTCATCACTAACTTTGGGGCTGGCTGGGAGGCCAGCAGAAATATTTCCTTCATCTTGGAACACTGATCTTTTAGTTTAGTGGGTACAATTTTAAATATAAAATAATTTAAAATATAAAGTTAGCATCGTCCCAATCTGGGTGGTGTGGGCTGTGGGAGGAAATGAAGCAACCGAATTTGCAACACAGCTCAAATGACTAAATAGCTCTGAAACAATGAGCGTTGAATATCTGAATGTCTGGTTTCTAGTTTTGCTCTCCCACGACAACAAACCTTTTCAGAATATACTGGTATTTCATCCTTTCTAGTAGCAGAAAATGCATATATAACCTCACATAGAAAATGGACAGAGCATTGGGACACCCTGGGCTGACTGGGGGCTTGTCCGAGGCACCAGCCAGCCCCAGGGCAGAGTTCTGGGAGTTCCTGTAACAAGGTCACTGCTGCCTGTGACTCAGGGATGGGACGGTGGAATGGCAGGACCAAGAAGACAAACAACAGGCAGATTTTCTCCCTCTTCACGAAGAGAGCCAGAAGCTTTGAGGGACCAGGTTGAATTCTGAATGGGATTAATGTTTTTCAGGTGTTTGACAATGAAGTAAAACTTTTATACTCACTGTCTTCACAGTTGACTCCATTGTAACCAAAGGCACACCTGAAATACAAGCCATTATGGGAAACCATGGTGAAGAGCATGTGGGAGCATGGCAGAGTTCCCACCCAACATCCAGGTCTTCCTCTCCATCTTTCTTTCATTCTCTCCTCCCTGTTCCTTCTCCTCTTTCTCTTTCTCTTCCTTCCAGTCCTATTCTCTAGTTGAGCATCTTTCATGGAGCTCTGGAAGGTTGGAGGGCTGGTAGTCATACAACCTCATGTGGTCTCATTTTTTACTGACTGAACACTCCATCCCTTGAGCTCCAGGAATACTCAGCAACTCAGGCAAAGCTGAACCCCAGGACATGGAGCCTAGTGGGACGCTCTCAGACTGCGAGGTCATGTGGCTCTTCATTTGCTGCCCTGTGAGCTGGGGCAAATTACTTATATTCTCTGAGCTTCAGTTTCTGCACTTGAAAATAGTGTTGCTGAAAATAGTGTTGATAGTGTTGTTGTGTGAGAGGTGTTACCTAGTGTGGTTCCTGGCACATAAAGAATGTTCAAAACTACTGTTGATGCTGCTGCTGCTGATGACGATAATGATGATGATACTCTACATCTATGCCAGCATACCAAGTTCCTGACCCTAACCCCATGTTGCAAGCTCTAGCCTTTCTATCCTTTACCCCATGCACAAGCTCTAGCTATGGCAAGACAATAAAGGAATGATTTCTCTTACACTTGACATTTCTCATGATCATCCATCCTGTAGCCCGCCAGGCACACACACTCAGGGCTCCCGTCGTCCTTCACCAGGCATTGTGTTTTGGGTGTTGACTTGCAGGCATAAGGACACTTCCGACTTAAAGCTTCAAAACAGAGTGATTTCCGGGTAATTTTCAGAAACAACCTCTTCAGCCCCAAAGTGATATGGCACAGAATACAATTTTTTTCATGGTCAAATGAGGGTCTCATTGGCTGTGCAGGTGATATGCCCCCTGTGAATGCTCGTGGCCGGCTTGCAGCCGGTGAATGTCTCACCGGCTTGCAGCCAAAGTCACACTTCTGGTCCATGTGCCTAAAGCCAAAACTCACATTCCTCAGAATCTGAAATGCACATGGACCCTAGAGTGGTAAAGCTTGTATTTTGCAAATGTGAAAGGGGAAAACGTAGGTGTTGTGAAGAACATTTAGAAGCAGGTGGAATACTTACGCAGACATGTAGCAGTGTAGGGGGTAGGTCTTTCATACCCTGCTTGGCATTCACACTGAAAACCATCACTGCAGTCATTTTCCTTTACACAACCATAAAACTCACACCGATCTATATCTGAAGGGCACAAATAATTAAAAAATATATTCAGCAAGATAGTGTGGATAAAGCAACTGGTGAAAGGCCCCATTCTATTGTGTTATAATTGCCTTTTAATAAGTTTTAGGATTTAATAAATCATAATCTGGGAGTCTAAAATTCAACTCTCCAATTCCTTTTTTTTCCATGACTATTTCCTTACATTATTCAGTTTAAATTAATTCAATCCAAAGCAGTGCTATCAGGTTCAAGTTCAAGATCTCTTTCACACCCAGCTCTGTGCTAGGTTCTATAAGGGACACAGTAGCTACATAACTTTTTGGTCCCATTTTTTTAGAGTTACAGGTTTGAACCCATAGAGAATTGTTGCTTCCATCACCTCATAATTCAGACTTTAAGTACAATGGGAATTCAAAGGCTGAAGTAATTAAAGGTAACATTGTGGAGGAGATGGAAATTGGACTGTCTTGAAAGATAGGGAAAATTTAAGCAGTCAAAGAAGAGGCAAAGCCTTTCTAAGAAGAGTAAACAAGGCATGAAAAGAAGCAGAGACTTCTTATCAAGGAGCAGTGGTGTTGTATTTGGGTGGGGAAAGGCAGTGTGGTAAACAGGAAGAAAGAGAATTCTTGGCTGTGCCATTTATTGGCAATGGGCTCTCTCTGTTCAGTCATTTGAGTTTGGGTGGGTTCAAGTTCCCTCCATCTATAAAAGGGACTAATAACTCTTGATTCATATAATTGTTGTGAGAACTGAATGAACTAACGTAAATGCAAACCCATTGCAGGAATCTCAACAAATAATCATTCTTTTGTCCACTTATAGGTACAGCAGGGTTTGAATGCCAGGCTCAGGACAATGACTTTAATCCTACAAGCCTGAGAATCCACTGGTGGATTTTGAGCAGAAGCATAGCATGAGAAAGCAGTCTTTTAAGAATATTACTCTAGAATGGATAAAGAGGTAGTACATATGTACAATGGGACATTACTGGACCATAAAGAGAATACAAATCTTATCACCTGTGACAACATGGATGGACCTAGATGATATTATGCTAAGTGAGATAAGTCAGGAAAAGAGAGATGAATACCATATGATTTCACATGTATCTGGAATCTAAAAAATAAAATAAACAAATAAGACAGCAACAAACTCATAGATACAGGGAACAAATTGATGGTTGCCAGAAGGGAGGGAGATTGGAGGAGTGGATAAAAAAAGTAAAAGGATTAAGAAGTACGAATTGCCAGTTATAAAAATAGTCGCAAGGATGCACAGTACAACACAGGAACATAATAATATTGTAATAACTATGTATGGTGTCGGATGGTAATACTAGACTTAAGAGTGATCTCTTCATAAGGTATATAAATATCTAATCACTATGTTGTACACCTGAAACTAGCATAATATTGTATGTCAACTATAATTAAAAAATAAATTTTAAAAAGAATGTTAGTCTAGAAGCAGGTTGGAAGGCATTTGGAATAGAAAGATGAATCTGAGACTAGATTGGGGGAGAGAATAGGAGGAGGAGGAACAGTTATGTGGTTACTCTCTTCTAAACACCCCAGACCTGTAACAAACCTTCTTTTATCACCTGCTAGTTTAAAAGTGCCTCCAATTAACAGTCTAGAGAAAAAGAATCTATAGCTTTTGACACGGAAGAGAGAATCTGTCTTTGCAGCAGAAGCAAAAAGCAGGAAAAAGAGCTTTTCCCCTAAAGTTCTGAGCCTCTCCCTTCCCTTTGCTGGGTGGCTCATGCTTCAGTGGCCCCCTCCAACCTGCACCGTTTGAAAATTTGTTAATGAATTTACTGGTGCACACCTGGTCTCAGAGGGGCAAGATGTTGAGAGGAGTTGTCCGAAGAGGGCAATTCTTCAAAATGAGGACAAATAGTTACAAGTATGCCAGGGGTTAGAGCCAAGGCAATTATGAAGGAGAGCCAAAATGAGAGAATTGTACAGGGGACCCCAACTTTATCTTGAAGAATGCACTGGTTACTTTTAGCCAGCAACCTCGCTGAGTCAGTCTTCATGCTGATGGGGACCCTCAAACTTCCTCACACTTGCTGGAAGTCTCATTTAGCCAAAAGCAGAATGCATGACAAGGTTCATCTTGCCTTGCTGACAATTTATTCTTCCAGGGAGTAGAGGTTCTGATTGCATGAATTGCTACTCTGCACCAACTCTGACCCAAGGAGAAATCAACTGGCAGGTAGAAGCTATGGTCCCCTTGGAATACAAGAAATAAGTGATAGCCAGAGAGAGATTCATTTCGCAGAGTAAAAATTCAAATGTTTAGAAAGGAAAAGGTGTAATTCTGATGCACGAGACTCTAGAAGGTAAAAATAGTTCAAGAAGGTCAGAAGGTCTGAAAATGTAATTCTAACAGTGTAGCTGCTAAATGAGCTATAAAAACCAAAAAAGTAGGAAGAGGATCTGGTAATTTAAGAAACTGCCTTGGTTTGCACAGGAAGCTATCAAATAAGACACACACAAAATGTGGAAAGAAGATCTTATAAGCAAAGACAGAATATTAAAAATGTGGTAGAGAAAGTCTAGAGATTCAAATGAGCTCAGGTTTCCCCAAAAAACACAAAATAACACCAATAAAATCCAATAACAAAGAGAAAAGGGTTAAAGTGGAAAAATGGGCAAACAAATGAAGAGAAGTGTGTATGTGCGGGCGTGTGCGCGCGTGCGTGTGTGTCTGATGCTAGGGAGGCCCTTGGAAAGGCCAGGCCTGGCTGGTGTAACAGTGGTGGATAACATGAAAACCAGAATGGCTCTACAATTCTTTCATCCCAGCCTCTTCTGCCAGGAAACGGTACTTAGATGGAAAAAGGTTGAATGGGCATTACTAAATGGACTGCAGCCAAAGGAGAGAGAGCAGTACAGGGGAGCCCCATCTTTTGTGACAGGATTTTAAGTGTTTTATCAGAGCATTTACATCCCAGGTCCTGAGAGAATAGTGAGAATCTCTGTGAAATCTTTAAGAAAGAAAAAAGGTGCTGAAAAACTCTAAATGAACAGGATCTGTTTACATTTTTAGAAAGAGAAGGAAGTTTGCACACTAGGCCAATGAGGTTACAATCATTAGAAAGCAAAAATGTAAGAGACTAAAGAAAGAGTCTTAGAAGAACAAAAAGAAGGATGAGGGAGGCAGGAAGGGGATCCAGAGAATGGTGGGTGGAGAAGAGGACTTCAGGAAGGGAAGGGTACCAGGGTACCAGTGGCAAATGCTACAGACAACTCAAGTCAATTGTGCCTAAATAGAGGCCTTTGGATTTGGCAACCAGGACTGAGAACCAGCCACATAAAGTTGCCACCAGGGCTGGCCTTAACAGGTGCCTCCGAGATGAGGAACTTCTGATGACTGTTGTAATAGTGTCAATTCATTCATACCTTCCTGTATCCATCCATGCCCTGCCAGACTGTGCTTGGTCACATGAACTGCTTCGGCCATTAGGACAGTTGTATATGTGATGTAAACAGAAACTTGAGAAATACCTGTGCATTAAAACCTACCCTCTTGCTGCTCTTGAAACCCTTTAGGATCAGCCTGCTGGAGGATGACAGACCATGTGAAGCAGAGACAAACCAATGAGCTGAACCATCTTACATCAGTCAGACCTCAGCTGACCCACCCAGCAGCTAATGGCAATTGCTTAAATGAGCCCAGTGGAGATTAGCCAAGCATGGCCTAGATCAGCAGAACTGCCCAGCTGAGCCCTGTCCAAATTCTGATCCATCAAATAATGGCATTGCAATAAATAAAGAGACCACTATGTTTTGGGGTGGTCTGTAACACGGCAAAAGTGAACTATTACGGTTATGCCGTGGGTTTGTGTGTTGGCCTAAAGGGTGAACAGTGCAGGTAAAATCAATCATTTAGAAAGCTATGACTTGGGATGAAGTCCTCTTGTTTCATCTTGCTTCATTTTTTTCTGTCCAGAGCTATTTGTCCAACACTACCTTCCAAACAGAGAAGCAAACTGGTCACCTTGATGACTTGGCAGGTGGCTGGAAAGGAGCAGAAGCCAAGTGAGAGAAGACAGGGTGGAAGGATGGACTGGTAAAAAGGAAGGTCGGAGACACCTACAGATTCCGTTGTCCAGTTGTTCTTGCCCCTTTCTTCCATGTGATGAAAAAGTTCCCACAAAGGTAGGTAGGTGGTTAGGTAAACTTTGAATAAAATTATTTACTACTTACTAGCATAGTTTTCAATGTTTGGATTACTTGAAATTGCACCTTGAATTTTATCAGATATGGTTGTCTCATTTTCTTTTGTATCTGCTGCAAAAAGGTTTACCACTGTTACATTCACAACCTCATCACCAGCACGCATTTGAGATCTTGCTGAAGCAGATGTGCTAAAAACAAAATGAATTAATCACTTGATGAACTAAATTCAAGCATCAACAAATTGGTCTTCAAACCTCCCACACTTCCAAATTTCCCAGTTCTATTCCTGATCCACAGATATATCCACAACTGCAGGGTCCGGTATGGAAGACTGGGGTTGCAATAAGATGGCCCAGAGATCTCTATTTAATGTGTTCTCAGGAAATGTACAGCTGAAACAATGTCCTGTTGGGGGATAATTGTGAACTCTCATTTTTAAGATCTAGGAGCCTAGAACTAACCAGAAATAGAACAAGTAACTTCTGAAATAGTAACTTGTCACTTTCTGTAGAAAAGCAAGAGTAAGTCTATTCCCAGGCTGTTAAACCTCAGAACTGTACTTGGAGAGAGAGGAGTGTGTATTCCTCCCTGTGCACAGAGAGAGCAGTAAGCAAACATGCAGAGTCTGGGTCACTCCTAAGAAGGGCCAGGAAGTCAGCAGGCAAAGTGGGTAAGGGATTGGGCCTGGATATGCATGATCCAGAGGAGAACTGGAACAAGGAGGGATGAGGCTATCAGAAACATGAGCATATTATACCAAATCATATCACCAAATACTGAGTGTCTGCTATGAACAAGACATTGTGAGACTCTTTCTAATCAGCACAGCAGTTTGGAGCCCTAATAATAACTGGGCCAAGTTCTAACTCTTTCATTGTTCCAAAGGAATCAAGTGATACAGACACTGAGAAAGAAATAAAAGGACTTTTAAAAACTACCCCCCCCCATCTGTTTCATGACTGTGTGTTTTTAAGACTCTGGATATACTTCTCCTGTACAGCATTTTCTCTCCACTTTGACTTTTGAACAAATAGAAAAGCTCAAAAATATAGCCAACCTGCTTGGAAAATGTTTACAGCTATGCTGGTTCTTCCAAACAATCAGCAAAATCCAAAACATTAACCAAATTCCATTTTTAGGAATGATCATCTTAGAAGGGAGTCCATATAAAACTCAGCGCCAACCCCCCCCAGTCCCCCACCTCCCAAAAACCAACCCTCCCAAACAGTTCAATTAAAAAATGAGCAAAGGACCTGAATAGACACTTCTCCAAGGAGGACATACAGATAGCCAATAGACATATGAAAAGATGCTCAATGTCCCTAATGATCATAGAAATGCAAATTAAAATCACAATGAAATATCATCTCATACCTGTCAGGATGGTTATCATCAATAAATCAAAAACAAAGACAAAAAAACAAAACAAAACAAGTGCTGGCGAGGATATGGAGAAAGGATAACTCTCTTTTACTGTTCTCCTTTCTCCACATCCTCACCACACTTGCACGGTGGGAACGCAGACTGGTACAGCCACTGTGGAAAGCAGTATGAAGATACCTCTGAAAATTAAACATGGATCTGCTTTTTTGACCCAGTGATCCCACTTCTGGGGATGTATCTGAAGGAACCCAAAACACTGCTTTGAAAAAATGTAATTACCCCTATGTTCATCACAGCATTTATGTATAATTGCCAACAGATGGAACCAGCCCAAGTGTCCATCAGTAGATGAGTGGATAAAACAACTATGGGACATTTACACAATGGAATACTACTCAGCCATAAAAAAGAAGAAAATTTTACTCTTTGCAATAGTATGGATGGACCTGGAGAAAATTATGCTAAGTGAAATAAGCCAGTCAGAGAAAGACAATTACCATATGGTTTCATGCATATGTGGAATCTAATGAACAAACTGAATTAACAGGCAAAACAGAAACAGACTCGTAGATAGAGAACACGATGACAGCTAAGGGGGGTGTAGAGAGGTTAGGGGTGGAAGGTTTGAGCAAAAAAGAAAAAGGACTCATGGACATGGACAACATGGTGTTTGTGGTGGGGGAGGGAGGTATAAGGGGACTAGGTGGTAATGGAAAAAATACAATAAAAGTTTAAAAAAAGAAAAAGAAAATTAATTGTTTTAATCAATTACATCACAGGCTAAAAGAGAAAACTTACATGATCATATCAATAGACACAGAGAAAGCATTTGAAAAATCTAACATTAATTCATGATAAAAACTCTCCCTAAACTAGAAATAGAAGATTTCCTCAACTTAATAATTTCTAAGAGACAAAGAAACAAACAAAAGCAGGGAGTCCAAAAAACCAAGTGACTTCAGATTTTCTTTTCAATTGCCTCCCATGATTAATTTATGATAGATTTAGAGGTGGCAGAGAAGGTGGGTGGCAGAGAAACTGGATGGCAGAGAAAAAGCATCCTTGATACAAGTTATTCTTTATCAATTAAAAAATGACCAGAAATCCGTGATATACATTTACAGTTGGGCTAGGAAAGAAATGCCATCTATAATTCATCCTTTCAAAGAATCTGTTAGCTTACACTCCAGTTTAGGAGGCAAGACATTGTACTCATGACTTAGGAGAGCCACTGTGTACTCAAGTGACACAAAAAGGTATAGTGTAATGACCAGAGCACTAGACTTGGAGTTCAGAGTCCAGAGGTCTAGAGCCAACACGACCACAACCTTTTGTGGTCCAAAGTCAGCTTTCCTGAGCCTGAGTTTCTGCCTCTGTCCAAAGAGAGATCTGAGAGAGAAATTCTGAGGATCTTTCCAATCCAAATATTTGTATCATATACACAGATCTTGGGGATTCAAAGGTGAGAACATTGGACTGGAGCCTAAGACATTTCTTCCTAGGTGAGACTGAGGTCCATTCACCCCGCTACAGTCCTGTGTTGGAAGTAGTTCCTGATTCAGACACTGAGCTCAAGGTAAAAGTTTGCCTCTGAACACCCCTGGCTCTGTTTTAGTAACAAAAGGAGAGCCATGATTTCAGGGAAACCCCTAAATGACCTTGTGGGACCAGCTGTCCATCACACTTGCAGGGCCCCATATTCTGGAAGGGAAACAGATGGGAACTAACACACGTTGAAATCATCTATGTGCCAGGAACTCTGTGCAGGGAGTCTTTCAAATGTTATTTATTTTTCCGAAAGTTTCAGGAAAGTTGATCAGATTATCCCAGATACAGAGATGTTCAGAGAGATGAAAATAGCTGCCAATTCATGCAGTGAGAATGTGCTAAGGCCAGGATTCAGGTACAGATTTGGCCGAAGCCGTCACACCTCACTGTTCCTGTGTTACCCAGTTGTGCTCAAAGCATGGACTCCCTGTTGTCCACTACACCAAACCACATGCCCTGAAACAATGCCCCACCCTCCAGCAGTCGTCCGCTGTGAATCTTCAGCTGCAGAGCCTTTGAGTTGGGGCCCAGCTTCTCTGTCTGGTGCCTGCTCCTTGCCCCATGGCGCTGTGCCTCTCATTAGTCTGCCTGCTGGTGTCCTGGCTGCCAATCGCACTTGCCCCTCACTCACCATCATGCTCAAAACTCACCACCTTCAAGAGGCCTTCTTTGAATTTGTAAGTATAAATACACCCTGTATCTTATTTCACAAAGAATTTGACAAAGCCTATGAAGATATATGCAATAGTAAGACCATAAAATATGAACACATCAGGGCTGCTTTTTCTACACAATTTCACTCATCCTAGACTAGAGCATTCTTTCCTCAGGCTGTGGCACTTGTATGTCCATGTGCTTCAGTGAAAGCTGAAATAAAATCACTACCTTCTTGAGAATCCTTTGCCTCTCTGGGTCCCTACATAGCACTTAACACTGGTCATTGTACAGTGATATGCTCAGTGAATGCTTGTTCTTACTGCAGCAAGAGCTCACTATTGGCCCTTTTCAGCCACGTGTGAGATTTGGGTGTTAACTCCCTCACTCCCCCCATACGAGGAAAGAGATGACCATGAGCCACTCATTTTCCTCCTGGCTCCCTGGAATGCTCATTCCAGGGTTTGGCCAGGTGTGGTTTGTAGCCAAGAGATCAAACCAATCAAACTGATCCAGGTGATGCACTGGACCATGTGTGCAAATTGCTGAATAGCCAGTCACAGGCAGTGTCATGCTGTCCCCAGGCTACACTCCGCCCATCCACATACCAAGGTGAATGTCACATCAGACTGACCATTTCTTCCTGACTTGTGACTTCCCCCCTAAGGGCCATAGTGCTGCACGGGGAACTCAGGAGACAATGAGAAGTTAAACAAATGCACACCTGACTCCAAAGTGCCCCATCGGTCCATAGCAAACTTACCTTACTTGCTGAATTACAGTCTGTCCATAATCAGAATTTGCAAATGCATCTTTAAACTGTGGAAGAGAAGAACAGATTTAATAACAACTGCAAAGGGCTGGGAGAGAGGAGAATGTGATAGTGTATTTAGGTATCCATCACAGGAAATCTGCGGTGTTAAATCCATGGTTTGTCACAGCAGATTATTTATTCTTGACATTCTCTCTAACACCTTTCAGTCATATTTGCTTTAAAACAGTAAGAATTTAATATAAGTCAGGGTTACTTAAGATGAAAACCCAAAATAGACAAATCAATGATTATACTCTTAAAAATTAAGGTGACTAACTTACTAAGTTTGTCTTCTTAAAGTCAAAGTAAAGTTTTGCACATTTGTTAGACTTATCTACATGCCTGTGTCATGCATGCATTCATGTACCCAAGGAACACTTCTTTAATTGCCTCCAAGGCAATTATGCAAGGGGACTTAGAAATTACAAAGATGGGCTGGTCCAGGCCTGGGTCAAATAGTAACTGCACCATGTGGTTGAGTCAGGTAAGTACCATAGAGTGATATGATCTACCATGGAAGTTCAAGGAAACTTTCTTCCATAAGTTGCATAATTTAACTTCTTTGAATCTTTACTTTTCTCACTGAAAACTTGAGATAGCAGTAATTCCTACCATGTAGGGCTACAGTGTGTATAAAGTGAGATGGCTTTGTAGGCTGAAATGTGGATCTAATCAGGTCTGAGTTGTGTTCTAAGAACAGAGACAACTCTAGATACTTGTAGAGAAGCAGCTGGAGATAAAGCTGAGGATAAGGTAGAGGTGGGTTGAGCGTCCCCGTAAGAACATAAGTTCATTGATGTCAAGAATTGGGTTTGCTTTCTCTACAGCCTCCTCCACTGCTACCCAACAGCACTCAGCTGAGTGTAATCTCTATGGAAAGTTCAACACTGGTTGACTGAATATTGAATAAATTAAATGTGAAACATGTGAACTTGGACATATCTTCCCATTTTAGGGTCCCATTCTCCATATTTATTATATGAGTGTTGAACTAGGTTGATGCAACCTTTTTTTATAATCCATGACTTTTTAAAACTTTTCTCCCCATGGGAACCCCACATTATAAAAGATTATGGCAACTAATTTAATTTAAAAATATGTTAAATAGAGTTCTGGCCAAGATGGAGGTATATGTAGAAACCCTTCGCTTCCTCACACAACCAAAAGGAGGATAACAACCTATCTAAAATCAACAAACAATCAGAAGTGCCAGAAAATCAAACTGCAAGGAACTCTGACAGCTGAGGAATTAAATGGTCAACCAGACAAACCAGATCAGTAAGACAGGCGGATGAAGAGAAGCTGTGGAGAGGTGACAGACTGTGCAGGCAGGGCTGGCTGAATAGGAAACTGAGACTCAGAGCTGATCGTGGACTATGGTATGGGGTGCCAAGGAGGGAGAAACTCCCAGTCTCACACGAGGGTTCATGGAAAAGTGGGGCTAGAGCCTAGCAGATGCTGCATTGTTCTCTCACGTGCCCCTTCCCCACAGGCAGCACCACAGCACAGCAAGGAGGGTTGCCCTGCCCTGGTGAATACCAAAGGTCCCACCCGCTTACAACTTATCAGGAGCACTGAGACAAAGAAAGATAGCCCAAATGAAAGAACAGAGCTAAACTCCAGAAAGAGCTAAGTGATGAGAAGATAGCCAACGTCAGATAATTAGATAATGAGAGCTCAAGGCCTGGTAATCAAAATGCTCACAGAACTGATTGAGCTTGGTCAAAAAATGAAAGGTCAAATGAAACACACTCAACATGAAATAAAAGAAAATATTCAGGGAACCAACTCAGGAAGGAAACCAGGACTCAAGGCAACGATTTGGAACAAAAGGAAGAAATAATCATCCAACTGGAACGGAATGAAGAAACAAGAATTCAAAAAAATGAAGAGAGGCTTAGGAACCTCTGGGACAATTTTAAATGTTCCAATATCTGAATAATAGGGGTGCCAGAAGGAGAAGAAAAAGACCAAGAAATTGAAAACTTATTTCAACAAATAATGAAGGAAAACCTCCTCAATCTGGTGAAGGAAATAGACTTCCAAGAAGTCCAGGAAGCCCAGAGTCTCAAAGAAGTTGGACCTGGAGAAGAGCACACCTAGGCACATCATAATCACATTAGCCAAGATTAAAGATAAGGAGAGAATCTTTTTTTTTTAATATTAAATTTTATTTAGTTACTTTTCAAGTACATTTTTTTTAATCTATTTCTCCCATCCCACTCCACCCCCCCACCCGGTCTCCCTCCCCCCATTCCCCCCCCCCCCAGTCCTCATCTCTGAGGAGAGAATCTTAAAAGCAGCAAGAGGAAGGAGAGAGTTACCTATAAAGGAGTTCCTGTAAGACTATCAGCTGATTTCTCCAAAGAAAACTTGCAGTCAAGAAGGGGCTGGAAAGAAGTATTCCAAGTCATGAAAGACAAGGACCTACACCCAAGATTACTCTATCCAGCAAAGCTTTCATGTAGAATGGAAGGGCAGATAAAGTGCTTCCCAGATAAGGTCTAGTTAAAGGAGTTCATCATTACCAAGCCCTTACTATATGAAATGTTAAAGGGACTTATCTAAGAAAAAAAGATAAAAAATATGAACAGTCAAATGACAACAAACTTACAGCTACCAACAAATGAACCTAAAAAAAGAGAAAAGCAACAAAAACAAAAACTAAGCAAACGACTATAACAGGAATAGAATCAGAGAAATGGAGATCACATGGAGGGATTTCAGTGGGGAGAGGGAAGGGAGGAACAGCAGGGGAAAAGGTACAGGAATAAGAAGCATAATTGTTAGGCACAAAATAAATGGGGAGAGATAAAAATGGTATAGGAAATAGAGAATTCAAAAAATTTATATGTACAAACCACTGACATGAACTAAGGGTGGGGGATGCTGAAGAGTTGGGGGTGCAGGGTGGGATGGGGATAAAGGGGGAAAACTGTAATAGCATCATAAGTAAAATATACTTTTAAAATATGTTAAATAGTTTTTTATTCTAGTCAAATTCGAATAAATTTGATGTTCTAGTTAGTCTGGGTAGCCTTTATCCAGAATATGTCTATAATCCTTTTAATTCTTTTAAATATTAGGAATAGCTTGTATTCCTGTAAATCATCAGGGAGTTGGAAATCCACTTAGAAACAAGTTAACTCGAAGACCGCGGAGGTCCCTTCAGCTCTTCTGCTAACCATCGCCAATTTAATTTTCTTAATCCCAAAGAAGAGATTATGCAATTAGTATTTGGCATAGGCAAAAGTGTTTTCTTTTTCTTTTCCAGATCACCCTTTGATGATGTTGGGATACACACCTCTAGGTGTGAAGGGCTGTATGGTTGGACAAGAAGGCAGGCACTACCCAAACAGGCCCACCTGGCCTGCACTGCACGGCAGAGCCAGCAGTGCGAGAAGGCAGCTCTGGGCCCAAATCCCAACTTCGTTCCTCATCAGCTGGGTGACCTACAGCCAGTTACTTCACTTTTCTGACCTGTGACCACCTGATCCACAAAATAGGCACCATAGTGTTATCTCCTCCACAGGGCTATTGTGAGAATTAGAAATATCACACATAGAATGTCAGGCACAGCATGCAACAGGGAAACTCCAAATCAGGGACTATCCATTTGGAGCCTGCTAGGTACAAAATGCACCCTGGGAGACTTCTCAGGGTCTGAGCTGGGGCTACCCCAGCTACACGGCGTGCTGAGAGGACCCTGAAGACAATAAATTGTCTCTGTTTTCCTATTTCTAGAAGCTGCTAGGGAGTTCTGGCATACCCATTTTGGATTAACAGCCTCTTGGAAATTATAAGAATGCTCTATCCCCTCCCTAGGGTCCTGGGGACCATAGAGACTTGACTGAAATCAAGTCTCTAAACTGGTCTCTGCAGACCAAAACATAGGCCTGGGGCTGGAAGGGCCTTTTGGACACTCATTCCCAAAGCAAGTTTGGGAAATGTGGTGGCCACTGCCCAGTAAAGTCACATGAGAAAATCAAGGGGCTCCCTGGAAATAGGAACATATTGATGTTGCCTTCTTCAATGTACCAACTCTCACCCAAGCAGGCAAATAGGAATGTAGATTCAGGATGAGAGGAGAGGTCCCAGACAGGCGGCCTATCCTGTATAGGAGGTATGACAAGGGCCTGGCGAGCCCTGGGCCCTGGCAGCTGAGGGTCTGTCCCCACAGAGCTGGGCACTGGCTATTCTGACATGAGCACTGGTTTTCTCTGTACAATCTACAAAATCGTTTGGACAACCATTTTTTACATTTTATCATTTCTAATAATGAAACTCTTTTGTGATGATGTAATTCTGAATTGAAAGACATTGTCATCAAATAAGTCCTTAGTTTCTGAAGTCTTATGAAGCTTTGAGAAACACTGGCTGGATGCCCTTTGCAAGCCCTTCCAGGGCCACCAGCTGTGGTTCTAGAATGGCAATCTCCTGTTGACACAGCCGTTTGCAATAACCGAATTGAAAGAGGCTTTTGTACAATTTGACATTTTTGACAACAGGGAAAAAAGAAACAGATATTAATTCAGATGGAGTTGCTCTTTCAGACATTAAAAAAGTCATACTAGTATAGAAATGTGTGCAAATCGGAATGTAAAAAGAAAAAAAGGAACATCTTTAAAATTTTTCAATTCTGTGGAAAGCATTCATTTTAAAACATCATTAATGCCTGGCTGATGTGGCTCAATGGATTGAGTGCTGGCCTGAAAACCAAAGCGTTGCTGGTTTGATTCCCAGTCAGGGCACATGCCTGGGTTGCAGGCCAGGTCCCCAGTAGTGGGTGTGTGAGAGGCAACCACACATTGATGTTTCACTTCCCCTCTTTCTCCATCCCTTCCCCTCTCTATAAAAATAAATAAAATCTTTTAAAAAATCATTATATTGGGACTTCTGCCAAGATGAAGCTGTAGGTGGAAGCACTGCACCTTCTCGCACAACCAAGTTTAAAAACAACAAAGTTTTAGCAACAAAAACGCAGCCAAACCACAGAAATTTGAACTACACGGAAGTCTGACAACAATAAACACTTCAGCCAAACTGGTAAGAGGGGCAGAGCCAGCAGCAGAGTGGGGTCAGGCAGGAAAGATCCACCGGACCCACCCGGGTGCACGACCCAGGTGCACCAGCAGCGGTGGGCAGATCCCAGGTGTGGAGTAGTGGGCGGACCCACTGAGGGCTGACCATGGTCACACATTCATGCGCAGATAAACTGGTGAAGGAATGAGCAGTGAGAGAGACTGCACAGGCGCCAGTGGCAGGAAGCAGCAGAGGGAACTGACATTGTCCCTCTCTGACCCTACCCCCACATACAGCATCACAAACCAGCGACCTGGCGGGTGGCCCCACCATGGTGAACAACTAAGGCCCCGCTCCTCATATGTAACAGGCATGAACAGATCAAAACATGGCTCAAGAACAACTCAGAGCCCCTGAGACAATAAATCTAAGCGATGAAGAAATAGCCAAACTTTCAGATGCACAGTTCAAAACACTGGTGATCAGGATGCTCACAGAACTGGTTGATTTTAGTCACAAATTAGAGAAACGTATGAAGGCTAAACTAATTGAAATAAATGAAAATACACAGGAAACCAATAGTAATGGAAAGGAAACTGGGACTCAAATCAAAGGAGTGGACCAGAAGGAGGAAAAAAATGACCAAACAGAAAACAATGAAGAAACAAGAATTCAAAAAAAAGGAGGGGAGGCTTAGGAACTTCCAGGACATCTTTAAATGTTCCAACATTCAAATTATAGGGGTACCAGAAGGGGGAAAGGAACAGCCACCAGTGGAAAACTTATTTGAACAACTAATAAAGGAGAACTTCCGCAATCTGGCAAAGGAAATAGACTTCTAGGAAATCCAGGAAGCTCAGAGAATCCCAAAGAAGTTGGACCCAAGAAGGAACACTCCAAGGTACATCATCATTATACTAGCCAAGATTAAAATGAAGGAGAGAATTCTAGAAGCAGCAAGAGATAAGGGGACAGTCACCACAAAGGAGTTCCCATCAGACTGTCAGCTGATTTCTCAAAAGAGACCTTACAGGCAAGAAGGGGCTGGAAAGAGGTATTCCAAGTCATGAAATCCAAAGACCTACATCCAAGATTGCTCTATTCAGCAAAGCTTTCATTTAAATGGAAGGGCAGATAAAGTGCTTCTCAGATAAGATCAAATTCAAGGAGTTCATCATCACCAAGCCCTTATGATATGAAATGTTAAAGAGACTTACCTAAGAAAAAAAAGATAAAAAATATGAACAGTGAAAGGACAGCAAACTCACAGTTATTAAGAACCACACCTAAAACAAAAGCAAACTAAGAGGACAGCTAGATCAGGAGCAGAACCACAGAAATGAAGATCACATGAAGGGTTAGCAACAGGGGAGTGGGAGAATGAGAAGGGGGGAGAAGGTACAGAAAATAAGTAGTATAGATGGTAGGTAGAAAATAGATGGGGGGGGCAAGAATAGTATGGGAAATATAGAATCTAAAGAACTTGAGACATGTGGTCATAAAGTAAAGGGGGGAATGGTGAGGGAGGGGGTGTACAGGGTGGAGAGGAATGAAGGGGGGAAATAGAACAACTGTAATGACATAATTAATTAAATATATTTAAAAATAATTTAAAAAATAAAAAAATATTATATTGACCTGTCCATTAAAAATATTCTAATAGCTTATGTAACGACAAGTCCAGCATGGTACTCTGCTGAGCCAGACATTACTTAGGGAAGTGCAGGGTCATGGGGAGGCCCAAGGGTACCCAAGGGGCTCAGGGCAGCTGCTGTTTACCAACCAATAAGAGTACATCTCACAGTTTGGACAATGGGATGGCTGTACCACTGTGAGCCACCGGAACATCAGCTTTATGCTCTCTAACTCAGTGTTAGAATGGCAAACACTTATACAGGAAGGTTGGAAAATACTTACAAATTTGTTAACTTCCATATATAAGTTTTCATAGTTTATGGACGTTTCATTTTTCAGGCCAGATGTGTCTGATGTTTTTACTTGAATTATTCCAGGGAATACCTTTCCTGAAATTCAAGCAGAATCTTTCTGTAATGTTTAATGCAAAGAGGATCATTTTTATTTTATTTACATCATACTTTAAAAAAGTTCTAAACATTATATGATGATGCTACAGGAAGCCTAGATGATAAATGATAATATATGATATATATCATATGTAATATATATAATAGATGATATATGATAAATGTTACCCCAAATCCCACCCTACCTAACACTTTGGTATGAGGTATGACCCACTTTTCAAAGAGTTCACTTTATGCCTCTGCACTTTTATGAAACACCTGCGGTAGGACTTGTTTTCACCACCATCAGGAACCTTAAGAGAATTCTTGCTTGTATGGAAAAAGGTGAACATGGAGACGAGCATCCAGCATTTGTTTTGCAGGGAGCTATTCTAGAGGCAGAGCGCACCCTGACTCGCCAGAGCGGCCTGCCCGCCGCAGCACCCGGCACCCCGGCACGCAGCCGCCACGGCCGTGGACTGTGTCTCTGAGCATCTGTGCATCCGTTAGCAAGATGTCCCCAAAGCGACTGCTTCTTCATCTTATGCCACTTCAACTTACAAAAGATTTCATGAGAATGACCTACTTTCAGGTAGACAGGGAAACCTATCTCTCTCCCAGCTCCTTTTTTCCCTGTGCAATGATTTATATCATTATTCCTCCAAGTTTATATCATAAATCTTCTTTACTAATTATTAAATAATAATCATGTTTCCAAATCATTACCTGGTCTTTATAACTATTGTTTTTTAAAACTGCATCATATCCTCTGAAATATATGTTCCCTTCATTGATGTAGTCACTTCTTGTTTTTAGCATTTTTAATTATTTAAAAGGGGGTAAAAAAGGTCACAGTAAATGTCTCCATTTGGGATCATTTACTTAGAGAGGATCCCCAGAAATGAGATTAGTAATAAAAGTAAGAGCATCCTTTTGGCTTTCGGAACATCTCTAATCCCTGTGGCTAATGCTTTGCATTTGTTCTCTGTACAACTGATCTGCTCTGGTGAGGGGGCTATTTCTCATTCACAGAACAGGTAAAATTTTATTACATAAGAAATAGCCTTGGACCTTCATAGCACATAGGTGATCTAACAAAAAAAAGTGTTATGTCAAGGGTATGGCGACTGGCTCCTGAAGTCCATCTCTAGACCTGAGAGGCTCTTAAGTCTCTAAAGATGGGATTTGCTGTTATGGAGCAAGCAAATCCTATGACAGAGAACTGACCAAACCCAGAAGACCAGGCTCACAGGCTTGTCGGACCATGCGGTCTCAGGCACATCACCTTCTCCTGCATCATTCCCCCCAGGTAACAGCACTGCTTTGTGCAGTCTTTGGATACCTTTTCAGGGCCCATCATTCTCATTTTGTTCTCATGACACCGTTCCCTTGAGCAGGTGAAGTGAAGGGAACTTCAGGTCTAGCCCACACACCTGACTCGGTTCATTTCCGCTCACATTTGATTCCACTGAGACAAAGGCAGGAGCCATTGTTCTACTCTGCTGGCCTTTGTTGCCTCCAAGTTTTCCCCTCTTTCTAGTATTGAACAAGCTCTTTGGCCATTAGTTTAAGTTTTCTATTCCACTTTAGGTATGAGATGCAGCTCTGCAGGGTTCATCATTTGTAACTCACCTTTTTTGCAGCTGGAAGAATTATAGTAATACCCAAGTATACACTGGCAAAAATGTGTATTATGCAGATTAACACAGTAAGAGCCACCGTCACAGGAATCATCTTGGCAAAGATCTGAGATGGAGCAGAAAGAGATGAAAAATCCACAGAGTAGCAAATAACACCCAGAAACATACTTCTCAATTCTCATGCCTGCCTCCTGGGCACTTTCTATTCCTTGGTTGTATTATTTCAAGGCATACCTTTAGAAAAGCTAGAAACAAGTACACCTTTTCTAATGTATCTTGAGAGTTTGTTGCTTAAATTCGGGAACAATTGCTTGTCTACAGTAAAGGTCAGAGGTTGGTGGGGAAGGGTGTGTTCAGAGTAATCTGCTAATCCAAGGAGGCAGGAGTGTTTGGGCCTCAAGGACCTTCTAGAACCTTGGTGTCTGATCTTCTAACACTAGATAGGGCTTCCCACAACTATTTTATAGAAGGCATCATATTTTTAAGGAAGGTGTATATACCTGTCTTACAGGGAGGAAAAGGCGGGAGGCCCCCCAAAGAGACTGGATGTTATATGCTGTTACACCATGTTAGCACGCATGGTATAAAGATCCATAATAAAAGGAAACAGATGTTAAGGGGAGAATGTGGATTAAGTCACTGAAAACTCTGAGAGTAATTGGTGAAATGACACTGCATTCCCTGGCTTTCTGAGTGGATGACTTGAATAAGTGGCGAGAATAACAATGTAATTGTTTCTACACCGCGGGCTGGGACTCACAGACTGGGACGGGTGCAGCATCTTTTCTGTGTCCAGAGATTAGATGGGGTTTAAGGAAGAAAGGTTGGTGGCCAAGTGGTGATCCTGGCTGGCCATGTTCTTCATCTCTTCCCAATGAAATGATTCTGAGCCTTGATTTCTGAATAAATTAAGTGTCTGGCAACCTTCAGAACTGTCTGAATGTTTATGAACCTATAAGTAGAACTAGATTTAAAAAAATCTACATATAAGGTACAATGTATATAACAGGCTCTTTTCGTGATTGAAAAAGGGGAATACACAAAAACACAGATACGTATGTTTCTATTTGCGTAATTACCTATGGAGGGAGAAGCAAGAAACTGGCCATAGAACTGGCCTCTGGAGAAGGAAACTGGAAGTCTGGGTCCTAGGGATCGAGGACGGGAGGGAGGTTTAGTTTTTACTGCACCTATTTTTAATGCATCTATTTTTACCCTGTTTAAGCTTCTTTTTCCATAACAATGGGCCTAATTTATTTTCATTTAAAAATAGAAAACAAAACAGTGCTGATGAGAATGCGGAGCAGCCTTGCTGGTGGGAATGCAGAATGGCACAGCTGCCTTGGAAGGCAGTTTGGGGATTCCTTACAAAACTACACATGTTCTTACCGTATGATCCAGCATGTGAACTCCTTGCTATTTACCCAAAGGAGTTAAAAATAGATGTCCACTCAAAAACCTACACACTAATACTTGTAGTGGCTTTATCCATAAATGCCAAAAACTTGGAAGCAACTAAGATGTCCTTCAGTGGGTGAATGGATAAGCAAACTGTGGTACATCCAAATTGTGGACTATTATTCAGAGAAAAAAAAAATAGAAACGAGCTTTTCAGCACTAAATTATAATCAAACCATGAAAGGACATGAAGGAAACTTAAATGCATGTTACTAAGTGAAAGAAGTCAACCTGAAAAGCTGCACACTGTGTGATTCCAACTATGTGATATTCTGGAGAAGGCATAACTATAGGCAGTTAAAATACCAGTGGTCGCCAGGGGTCGGAAGGAGAAAAGGATGAAATGGTGGAGCACAGAAGGCTTTCAGGGCAATGAAAATAGTCTACGTGATACTCTAAAGATGCATTTTTTTCAAAACTCATAGTATGAAGTGTCAGTGTAAGTCCATCGCCTGTGACAAATGTGCCTCTGTGGCTGGGATGTTGACAGTGAGGGGGGTTGTGCATATGTAGTATTTGAGACATATGGGAAATCTCTGCACCTCCCTCTCAGTTTTGCTGTGAATCTAGGCCTGCTCTAAAAAATTAAGTCATTTTTAAATTTTTTTAAAAAGAGTTTTAAAAAATGCTGCACGAGACAAAAGGAGGCATAGTGTAGTAGTATCTCATGAACAACAGTAAGGGTTACCCTCTGACAAGATGTAAGCCAACATTCTACATTAAATAAATGGCTCTTTTTAAAAGCCTCAATCAGGCCCTGGCTGGCGTAGCTCAGTGGATTGAGTGCGGGCCTGCGAACCAAAGGATTGGGGTTTGATTCCCAATCAGGGCACATGCCTGGGTTGCAGGCCAGTTCCCAGCAGGGGACTCACAAGAGGCAACCATACATTGATATTTCTCTCCCTCTCTCCTTCCCTTCCCCTCTAAAGATAAATAAATAAGATCCTAAAAAGATTATTTAAAAAATTACTTAAATAAGTAATAAAAGCCTTAATCACATTGCTTGCAAGGATGATTGAGAAACCTAGGCAAGAAATGGAGTGAAGCTCCTCTTTGGACCCAGAAGACAAGTCACTGCTGGGATGACTTCTGGGATGACTTCTCTCTAGCAATAAAGGACAGACTTGGCTTGTCTGGTGGACCAGGAATAAAGTCACTATATGTTACGGCTGGAAGGTTTTGGTGGCTACTTACTTCAGTCACACCTTAGCACAGATGAGCATGCTGAAGCCCAGAGAGAAGTGGTTTGCCCCATTCCCCACAGTTTGTGATTGGGCCAGCGCACAGTGAAAGTCTGTGGAACCAGAAATGCCTTAGAAGAGCTCCCTTCCCTGGCTCCAGGAGAGCTGACTGTGTAGCTCGCTGTGTCCCACTTGACCTTGACCTAGCCTTCAGAGTGGCCTCTCCAAACAAGACAGACTGTGAACAAGGTCGTAGATACAGGCTCTGGATCCATTTGCTTAGTCATCCATTTTTTAGATCTATCTCAGGACATTGGGGAAGACAAAAGATCTGAGTGTGGGGAGACTCAGCTTGCTCTTTGGCTGCAGGAAGTTGCTGCTCTTGCTGGGCCTCTGTTTTCCTTTGTGAGAATGGCAGGGTTTATCTGGACCCTTCAAGCCCGAAGATTCTTTTAGACTAGGGATTGGCGAACTACAACTTATGAGCCAGATCTGGCCAGTCTTCTGTTTGTTTGTTTATAAATTAAGTTATTGTTGATACAACCAGGCTCATTCATTTATATGTTGACTATAACTGCTTTTATGGCAAAATCACAGGGTTGAGTAGTCATAAGAGAGACCCTTGTGTGGCTCACAAAACCTGAAGTGTGTACTAGTGTGCCTTTATCAATAAAGTTGGCTGACCATTATTCTAGACCATGCTTTGGGAAATGAGGCAAGTGGTTTCTGTTTCAATAACTTTGGCTTGAGGTCAACTCTTAGCATCCCCAGAACATCTTTCCGTTAGACAATGACCTTGGTTATGTCCAGGACGGTTTGAGCACTGCTGTTGTTTGGCTTTTTATCCCTCAGGCTTAAATTCCACAAATTGGCTCAAACTCCCAATTAGAATGACCATCCACCATCATAACTTGTTCTGTTTTTTTGTTAACATCTGATAAGGAGGCAGGCTAGAATTGACTCTTTCTCTAGGTAAAGGAGCTAGACCAGTGAGTGGGCTGAAGAGTTGGTGTTTATTTGGGCCTCACCTTCACAGAGAAACTAAAACCATTTCTAAAAACTTCTTAGAGAGAGGGCAACTACAGAAGTAGTTTTTATAAAGTCCAAGTTCATAAAAACATGTTATGTTTAGCAAATAGCTTGAGGTAGGATGGCTAGTGAAAAAGGAGAACAGAATGGAACTATGGGTAATTTTTTAGGGTCTCTAACAACACTACTAGCCTTTTTCATTCAGATTTTTTTAATTCCAAGGGTTCATAGCCCAGGAAACCTTGTGTTTCTTTACACGCTCTTCCCTATTCCGGCAGAGCGTATTTGCCTGCCACCTCCACAAACCTGACTCCTCAGTGAGGAGTTTTTGAGAGAGTCACTCTTACTTGTGGTATCAGGGTTTGGATTGCTAGTCTTTGGTGAAGTGACACTGCTGGAAGTCAATGAAAGGACAGTCCCTAGGGAATTATCTTTTATGAATGCTGTGGGAGCCATTGGGGTAGTCAGTGCGGGCATTGTGTTGTCGGTACCTGTAGGAGCTGTGGTGCTAGCAGGTGCAGGTGTTGTGTTGTTGGCACCTGCAGGAGTCGTTGAGGTAGCAGGCGTAGGTGTCGAGGTGTTGGCACCTTCAGGAGTCGTCGGGGTAGAAGGTGCAGGTGTCGAGGTGTTGTCACCTGCAGGAGTTGTTGAGCTAGCAGGTGCGAGTGTCGAGGTGCTGGCACCTTCAGGAGTCGTCGGGGTAGAAGGCGCAGGTGTCGAGGTGTTGTCACCTGCAGGAGTTGTTGAGCTAGCAGGTGCGAGTGTCGAGGTGCTGGCACCTTCAGGAGTCGTCGGGGTAGAAGGCGCAGGTGTCGAGGTGTTGTCACCTGCAGGAGTTGTTGAGCTAGCAGGTGCGAGTGTCGAGGTGCTGGCACCTTCAGGAGTCGTCAGGGTAGAGGATGTGGTTGGGGAGTTGCTGGCACCTGCGGAAGTAGCTGGGGTAGTGGGTGCGGTTTTAGTGTTGCCAGTAATCACAGTGAGGATAGCATTTGTAGCATTTGTAGCAAGTGTGGCTAAAGCGGCAATAGGCATGAGGAAGAAAGATACCAAGTTTCTTTGGTAAAAGGGAAGTTTTAGAAGACTGAAAATATATAGTGATAATTATATAATTGTTTCAATGTAATAACAATTGTCAATTATTTAATACAAGAGTTGACCCTTGAAAAATGCAGGTCTGAACTACATAGTTCATTTATACTCGGATTTTAAAAATGAAACCTGTGAAACCCTTGAAACACAAGGGTCAGCTGTAATTGGTACCCAATTAATTCTTTTCTGAAAAATAAATGCAATATGTCCTCAAATATTGTTCTCATTCAACATCTTTTTTGCTATAACTTTGGTGCGATGTTGTAGGAACTTAACTATTCTTTGCATCAATTAACCTATGGTATAACTGGTTTCATTATACATCACTTTAAGTTGTAGAACCTATTTACAATGTTAGATGAGAACTTACTGTGTAGTTGACCACATTAAAAACAAAAATAGATGACTACTCCCAAAACACACACCAAAAATCCCCACAATAAATCAAATTAGAAGTTAACCAGACAAAACTGGGAAATGTTATTAAAATATGACCAAGAGTTCATGAGCACCAAGAAGTAATATTTATGCCTGTAGTTGCAGAACTGTGAATCTGGGTTTAATATTCCTCCAAGTAGCCCTCAGTGAGGACAATTAAAAGTGTCACCAGGGGGCGCTGTTACAATCTGGAAGTGAACTCCTTTGTCTTTTAACAGTTTAATGCAATTTGCCAGAATTTTCCATCACATGGCATTTTAGCTGTTGATAAATATGAGGGAGAGAAGGGAAAGAATGTGTTTAAACAATGATGAAATTTTAAACAAAACCTCATTAAGTGTGTATTAAACTTCTTCCAAAAATATTTTTCTAGTAACATTTACCCATTAATAATTTTAGACACGTGAACTTTTTAGAGTGGAATGAATAGAGATGGTCTCTGCCCTAAGGGCTATGGTGATCATCAAAGTTGCCTTTAACTATTAAGATGCCTTGGACATATGGGCCAGTAAATGCTTAGAATCCTTATTGTCACTAAGAACTCAGACACAGACAATCAGTTAAAAAAATTATTAAGAAAAGTGGAAAGCAATTTCTAAACCTTTGAATATGGAAAAGTGATAAGGAGGCTACCTGACTCCCCCCTGGTGTGAGTCCCTGGCTCTCCACCTCAACAGGGCCTGGCTTACACAGACATTCCTAAGAGATAAGCAATTGCTCTTCTGGGGCCAAGAAAAGAGTCCAGATTTTTGGTCAAGGTGGTGGTGTACGTAAATACAGCTCACCTTCCCACACAACCACATAAAATTACAACTAGACTATAGAACAACCATCATTCAGAACTGTCAGAGATCAAGCTGAATGGAAATCCTAAAACTACAGAAATAAAGAACAAACTACACTGAGACTGGTAAGAGGGGCGGAGAGCCATGTATGAACTGGTTCCACTGCCATAAATAAAAATGTGGCAGATAAAAATTGGGAGGGATATCTCAGGAGTGAGGGGTCTCAGCCCCACATGAGGCCCCCAGGTCCAGGGTTTCAGAACCAGGAAGATAAGTCTCCAAAACTTCTGGCTGCAGAAACCAGCAGGGATTGAGGCTGTGGAAGAGAGAAACTGCTGGATTCCCTGGCAATTACTTTTAAAGGGCCCAAGCACAGACTTACTCGGACTTATTCCCTCTCAGCTCCAGCCAATAGGCAGCAGCTTGAAAGGCAGCAGCTTGAAAGGCACCAGAGACATATAGGGAGAAACTGCATTGTCTGGAACCAGGGCAAGAGATAGGGGGCAGCTTTCTACCAGACAGAAGTACTAGCAGAGGCCATTATTCCTTTTCTGAGCCTGCCTCCCACAGAGCTACAAAGCCAGCAGGCAAGCACCATATCTGACACCTGTCAAGCTGCCTCACACTGTTTGCCCCACCCTGGTGACTCCCTGAGACCCTGTCCCAACCAGCATTCAGGCACACCTAACCAGTGGCTTTTTCATATGAATGGCTTGTCTTGGCCTACATTTCAGATTTTTAAAAATTATCTCAAACAAGAAGCATCTGGCTTCAGTGAGCCCTGTACCTCCTCCTAAGTGACCCTAGGTCTGGCATTAGCAGCAGCCAGTCTTGGTCACAGTTAGGCCTTGCCTGGGTAACTCTAAGCCCAGCAAAAGTAGCAGCAATCTTTGGGTCACTTTGTAGCTTATGCTGTGTGACTATAGACTGAACATGGGTGGTGGTTGACCTTAGATGTGCCAAGGGCACTGAAGGCTCAACTACAATAGGAGGGTGTACACAGCCCACACAGTGGGCATACCTTGAGTACCAGCTTGTGTAATAGGGGAGGCTGTGCCACTGGACCCTACAGTACACCTGCTACATTAGGCCACACTACCAAGCCTGGGAGATGTAGCAGCTCTACCTAATACATAGAAACAAACACAGGGACCCTGACAAAACTAGAAGACAAAAAAATATGGCCCAAATGAAAGAACAGAACAAAACTCCAGGGAAAGAACTAAACAAAATGAAGACAAACAATCTGCTAGATTTAGAGCTTAAAACACTATAAAAATTTAAAACAGTTATAAGGATGCTCAGTGAACTTAGAACTTTCACAGAATTAAAAAAAGAGCATAGAATCCATTAAAAAGAACCAGTCATAAATGAAGGATACACTAATTAAAATAAAAGACAATTTACAGGGAATCAACAATGGAGTAGATAAAACTGATAATAAACTTAGTGATTTGGAATATAAGGAAGCAAAAAATAACCAAACAGAATTTCAAGAAGAAAAATGAAGATAGTGTAAGGAGCCTCTAGGAAAACTTCAAGCATACCAACATTTGTATCATAGGGGTGCTAGAAAGGAGAAGAGAGAAAGAGAAAAATTGGAAACCTATTTAAAAAAATAATGAGAGAAAATGTCCCTAACTTGGAGAAGAAAATAGACATACAAGTCCAGGAAGCACAGAGTCCCAAACAAGATAAACTCAAAGAGGTGCACCCCAAGACACATCATAATTACAGTGCCAAAGGTTAAAAGCAGAGATTCTTAAAAGCAGCAAGAGAAAAGCAGTCAGTTACCTACAAGGGAGCCCCCCAGTTGACTTTCAGCTGACTTCTCAAAAGAAACTTTTCAGGCTAGAAGGGATTGGCAAGAAATATTCAAAACGATGAAAAGCTTACCTAAAACCAAGATTAGCCTACCCAGCAAAGCTATATTTAGAATTAAAGGACAGATAAACAGCTTTCCATACAAGAAAAAGCTAGAAGAAGTGTTAAAGGATCTTCTTAAAAAAAAAAAAAGAATATAAAAAATACGAACAATAAAATGACAACAAATATACCAGTCCTGGCTGGTATAGCTCAGTGGACTAAGCATGGGCCTTTAAACCAAAGGGTCACTGGTTCAATTCCCAATTAAGGTACATGCCTGGGTTGTGGGCCAGGTCCCCAGTAGGGGGCACATGATAAGCAACCACACACTGATGTTTCTCTCCTTCTCTGTCTCACTCCTTTCCCCTCTCTCTAAAAATAAATAAGTAAAATATATATTAAAAAATGAGAACAAATACATCTATTAACAATTGAATCTAAAAAACAAAAAGTAACAAGCTGAACAGAAACAGAATCATTAATACAGAGAGCGTTTTGATGGTTGCCAGATGGGAGGGGGTGGCAGGAATGGGCAACAAAGGTGAGGGAATGAAGTACAGGTTGGTAATTACAGAATAGTTACAGGAATGTAAAGTACGGCATAGAGCCCTGGCTGGTGTGGCTCAGTGGACTGAGCACAGATATGCAAACCAAAAGGTCACCAGTTCAATTCCTGGTTAGGGCACATGCCTGGGACACGGGCCAGGTCCCTAATGGGGATGTAAGAGAAGCAACCAGTTCATAAATGTATCTATCGCACATTGATCTGTGTTTCTCTCTCTCTTTCCTTCTCCCCCCTTCCCCTCTCTCTAATAATAAGTAAATAAAATCTTTAAGAAAAAGACAGATGTGTGACCCATGAACATGAACAATGGTGTGGGGACTGCCTGAGTGAGCAGAGGGTGGTGGGCAGATGGGTGGAGGGGAGCAAAGGGGGAAAACTGGGACAACTGTAATAGCATAATCCATAAAATATAATAAAAATATTTAAAAAAAGAAAATAGTCTCCCAGCCAGTCATTTCGACTGCTATTACTACAGCAGAGTCTTATTCCTACTATTCTCATTTATCAAGGGCTTACCCTGTGCCTGGCAGGACCTGGGACATGGATATGAGAGACATAGTTAATAGAAGACTGAACTAATACTCAGAGGGACTAAGGAGTTTAGCTGGGGGGTAAACCTTTAATTCCCACATATAAGGGGTCACAAGACTCTGATAGCAGAAGCAGAGATTAAACCAGGTCCCTACACTGCCTTAGGGCCCAAATGACATTTGGAGGTCGAAGAGCAGGGCACAGGGCCCTTGGAACCTACCAAGTCTTGCTTCTTGGCCTCAGGAACTCTTAAGGACAAATCTCTGGTTTGCTGAACCTCTTAGTCCAGAGGCCTCCTTACGACTGTTCTGTCTACCTTCATCGCAGACTGAAATGCCTGTGTCTTTGAGTGAAGTTGGAAAGGAAATTTCACCCACAATATAGCCCATCTGTCGGGCTGTGGGAATTAGTAGCTGAAGCCTGTTGATTCCACTTCAAAGACAACAAACATGCTTAAAAGAATATAAAGTTTTTAAATATTCCTTACCTGAAATTACAAAAAGGAGGGTGAAAAGAGCGAGGTGAACGAAGGCTTGCATCTTAGGTCTTCTTGCTAGGCAATCCAAGGAGGAAATGGTTCCCCCCGCCCCAGCTATCTTTAGTTTTAACTCCCTTTCAGGTACAAAGTCCAGTCATTAACTGACGTCAGATCAGCCAAAGGCAATTATTCCTTAAGGCTGGTCGTATACTCTAGGTCCCAGTGGAGTTTTTCAGACAAAGGAGATAAACCTGGCCTTACCGACTTTTTCTGACTCATAGTCCCAAATAACTCAGGAGAACTCAAACATCCTTGAGAGGTGGTGGCAGTTAATCTCTTTATAGCTCAAACGTCCCCAACCTACCTCCTTTTAGGAGGTCACCATTTCCTTAACACCAGTGCTATCATCTGTGCTTCAGTTACCAGCACGCCCTGCCATGACCCAGGAATCCAGGGCCCAGTTGATCCAGGAAATCCATTTTCTCCCCGCCGCCCCCCCCCTCCACCCCATAGCTCAAAGAATCCCTGAGGAGTGCTTACATGTTTCCCCTGTTTGTTGTTAGCTCTTGGCCCCTTTTGCTGTGGATCACGGTTCTGGGCCTCTCTGTGGGTCACATCCAGTAACTTGGTCTCCAAGCTTCGACACTGTCCACAGATCACACTGACTGGCCACACGCTCCCAGCCTCCCCACACCAGTCCCCTCCATTAATGTCCTCAAACACAGTTAATATCAAATTTTTGTGGTATTTAACCTAAGTTTACTGCAGGCTTGTGGATGAGAGGTCAGGAGGGGGAAATACAGTGTAGAAAAGGGAAAAAGTGAGAACAGATGACTCCATCTCTTTATTCCTGGTTGTTCACTGCTCATGTAGCCGCCTCCTGGTTCCTCTATTTACCTGCTGCTCCTCAGCCCCTGATCTCTCACCCCACTTCAGGAACCACCTTTATTCGTTGGATGAGGATCTTCTTAATCCAGTCCTCTCTCTTTAAAATCCAGGTACCCCAACTCCCCCTGGGTGTAGCCCCAGCCTGAGGAACAAAGCCAATTAACAACCCCTTGTGAATTTAACCCTGACCTTAGTAAAAACAAAAATTTTCATATTATTACATAGCAGGTTACTTTATTGTTGTCTCAAAAGTCTCCATTCAGCAGTGGGATGTGGGGTTGGTTTCTAAAGCTGAGAGGTCCGTTTACACATCTTCCCCAAGCAAAGACACCTCTCAGGCCCAGGTTTTGTGCTGTGTTTCTTAACCTGAATGATTCCTGGAGTGAGAAGTTAAACAAAAGCCTTTAAAGAAATCTTTTTTCTTTTAAAAGTCACTTTATTGAGGAAGATATAATTTGCATCAATAGACAAATCCATTTAAAGTGTAAAATTCCATGAGTTTTGATAGATGTATATACATGTGAATCCACCATTACAATCAAGATACAGAATATTTCTATCGCACCCTGAAGTTTCCTCTTGCCCCTTCACAGTCTATTCCTCCCTTTATCTCCAAACCCAGGTGACCGCTGATCTGCTTTCTGTCACTAGAGAGTAGTTAGCTTTTTCTAGAATTGTATAAAAATGGAGTCATGCAGTGTGTGCTACATGTCTGGCGTCTCCTCATCACGATCACTTTGAAATTCTTCCACGTTACTGTATGTATCAGCCCTTCCTTCCCTTCCTGCATTCCTTCCCTTTCCTCTTTCTTTTACAATATTATCGATATATAATTTATGTATAGTAAAATGCAAGTACCATTTAAAGTCTTGACATAGGAATACAGCCAGGAAAGTATCACTGTAATCAAGATATCAGACATTCTCATAACCCCCAAATGTTCTCTTGTGTCCATCCTTCCCCACACCCTCGGTCTGAGATAACTGCTGATCTGGTTTCTGTCACTATAGGTTAGTTTGCATTTTCTAGAATTTTATATAAATGCAATCATACAGTTATATTGGGTTTGGGGTTTTTACTTTTTGATCTGGATTCTTTCACTCGGCATAATTATTTTAAGATTCATTCATGTCGTATGTATCAATAGTTTCTTTTCTTATTTCTGAATAGTAATAATAGATATGCTGAATATACCATAGTTTATCTATTCATCTGTTGATGGACATTTGACTCATTTCCACTTTTTTGACTATTACAAAAAATAGGTGTTATGAGTAATTATGTACACATCCTTGTGTGGATATATGCTTTCATTTCCCTTGGGTAAATAGGAGTGAAATTGCTTTGTCATTTTGTAGGAATACATTTCACTTTGAATAAATTATCAAACTGTTTTCCATAGTTGTACCATTTTATACTCCCATCAGCGACATGAGTTTCAGTTGCTCCTTGCCCTTGCCAACACTTGTTACTATCAATCTTTTAATATTAAGTGTTCCAAAGGATATGTAGTGATAATACATACCAATGATCAGTCTTTTAATATTAGGCATCCCAAAGGGTAGGTACGTACTCTACAGACTCTCACTTTGGTTATAATTTGGATCTGCTGATGACAAATGATACCGAGCATCTTTTTTTTTTTTTTTTTTGCACTGGGGTAACTTTAATTTTTAATTTTTAATTTAATTTTTATTGTACCTTTTTCCATTACCATTTAATCTCCTTATACCTCCCTCCCCTGAACATGTGCTTATTAGACACTCATATCCCCTCTTTTGTAAAGTATTTTAAAAATTATTTGGCCATTTTTTTTAGTTTAGTTGTATATTGTCTTATTTTTGAGTTGCAAGAACCCTTTACACATGTATTGCAAAGATGGCCTCCCTTTGCCATTTTTACAGGGCATTTCAACCTACTACATTCACTTTATAAAAGGCTAACCAGGAATCTAGGAAAATTTAAAAAGTGGCCTGAGTTCACAAAATTAGCTTCAGGGTCTCAAATCCTGTCTCCTGAATGAGTAACAGCTCACTGCTCTATCTTGTCCTGGGTTCAAGATATCAAGAGAGTAGGACCCACAGAGCCAACATCTGCTAATGCCATTATATTACAACAGTGTCAATATTTACTCTGGTTTTCCGTATCATTTCTGGGCTGAGCATAAAATGCAGGTTGACCAGGAAGGGATGGAGGCCTGCTAAATACCTGCCTGCCTTACTCATCCATGGCCTTACCTGGGAAAACCTAGTCAATGAGAAAGTCAGGCAGCCCTCACGGTATGAACCAGAAATCATCCTTTTTTATGTCCCCTCCTAACCAAACCACATCAGGTTGCAACAGCCCCGAATTATAGACACAAGATACACAGAGCTTCTCATTAAGGGAAATGCTTTGCCACTGTTTCCTGGCATGTGGAGGGGACTCGGTGAGTGTTATGCTCCTGGTCTCTGGGCGTGTCTTTATTTGCTCTGCCCTAAGTGAGATGAAGTGGGTTATTTCAGAAGAATAAGTTGGGAGTGCTCACCTCAGATCGTGCCTTTTGCCTTCTTCAAGAGAACCTAAATATTCACAACTGTTGTACCTGGGAGGAAAAGGTGTCAGCATTAGGAAGCCCTAAGCCACATTCTCCAAAAAAGAAGGTATTTTGTGTCCAGTTATCATATTTTTTTTTGCTTTATTTCTCACATGATTCAAAACCTAGATGAGGAAAAGGAATGATATGTATTAGTACAACCCTGGCTGTACTCTAGTTGCGTATTTACAAGTCAAGAACACAGACTCCATCTTTCTGTAGAAACAATGTTATGCACAAGAAGGAAAAAAATCAGGAATGGGTTTTTGGAGTCTTGGCTTGTAAAACTCCACAATGGCTTATCTACTCATTCCACTGAGTTTAGTCATCTGTAGAAACACACACACAAACAAACAAATAAAGAAACAAACAAAAAACCTTGCCATTTCTCATTATCATCCATCTTCTAGAACTAACAGGCTCTTGGAGAAGTTACATGGATGGGGCTTTCCCCAGGAAGTAGTTTGAATTCTCACCTACTTCTTCCTCCACTGGCGGAGTGGGATTAAGGGGAAGTTTGACTAAGGTCAGAAAGCTATCTTTGAGCAGCTACAAACTGTGATTCAGCTTTTGTCCTAGAGGAAGTGAGTGATTCTAGACAGTATAACCACTCTCAGGGATGTTAGTGCTGGGCCTGGGTTGGTTGCTCTTTAAGAGGAAAATTGTCAACAACAAATGGAAGCAGGTCCACCCCTGTTTGAGGTTTGCAATTGTTTTTGCTTTGCACCTGTCACGATGCCTTTCCCAACCCACTGAAGTGAGAAATGATGTGATGAGGGCAGTGGCCCTTGAACTGTATTCCCCAGACCAACAGCACCAGCATGACTTGGAACCTTTTTGCAAATGCCCATTTCAAGCTTCAGACCACACTACTGAATCAGCTGTCTGAGTTTTAACAAGACTCCCAGTAACTCTAACACCTACTCATGGCACAAAAGATCTCAAGTGGTCCACGGACACAGCATGAGAGGACATTGACTCACTTAGAGGGGGAAAATAATTGCTTTTCAAATTTTCCTTAATCATTCTGTTTATACCAGGAGCAAATCTCATTTACTGCTAGTGTACCTTTAACTGTCTGTCCAATACTTTCATATTTCCCTTTACAAGGAGGAGTGAGCAGGCCTCAGGTGCAGAGCCTTTGGTAATCAAAGATATATAGCTAGAATATGGTAACACTTTATTGTGTTTATTTTATGGTGATTAATTTTGGCAAAGAAAACTAGTGTTTTATTGGAGGTGATGATGTAAAGTTAATTTAATTTATTTACTTAATCATAAAATTTTAAAAATACATTTTATTGTTTATGCTATTACAGTGAATCCCAATTTTTTCCCCTTTGCCATCTCCACCCAGTATACCCATTCCCTCTGGCAATCCCCACTCTCCCCCTTAGTTCATGCCCATGAGTCATGCATATAAAGTTCTTTGGCTACTCCATTTCCTATACTATTCTAAACACTCCCCTTTCTATTCTGTACCTACCCATTTGAACTTCTTAATCCCCTTACCTCTTCACCCATTCCATCACACTCCCCTCCCATCTGTCAAACATCAAAATGCTCTCTGTATCCATGATTTTTTCTCTATTCTTCTCATTTGCTTAGTTTGTTATTTAGATTCAATCGTT